ACTGGCATAAACCTCATTCTTGAAAAAAAGATCCTTATTCTAATTACAATACACATATTCTTTTTATCATTTCAAACTTTTCTTCTACCTCCTTAACTTTCTTCAAATACACGAACCTTATATCCTTTACTACATCACATTTACATAATCAAAATACACAACCATATCCAAATCCATATCATACCTAATTAGCTTAACCTGCCATCATCTTTTTATTCTTTAACTTTAATACATTTATCATCACATAACCTTGCTAGTTAGCACCAAGTCTTTTAATTTAGGGCGCAAACCCTTATCAAGCCAATCATATACATTCTCATCAGTATTTTACTCAACATATCAAACCCGTACTCTTACTCATACACGATGCAATTCCCTGGATTCAAACTTAAACATTCTAACTTTCTCTGTCTTATAAACTAATCACCTATGCACCCATTCTTGAACTCTTACGAAAACAATAACCACATCACTTGATCTTTTAATATTCTAATGATAACATTTATCCACTTTACTCTACTTCAAAACGATAAAGATCATCTAACACTATTCGTATGTGTTTTCAATCTCCAGAAAACAATCCTTAATTTTACAAAGGCACTCCCTAAGGTGTCTGCTCTTCATCCTGCCTGGCCAGGGCAGATAAATTGCTACCACCATCAGGTTTAACACCTCTCTCTTACATCGAAACTCTCAAAAAAAACATCTAATATACCGTTACAATCCAACTTTATTAACATACAACATACTCCTTACTCTATCAGATCAGAAATTTTTCACTTTGTGTTGCCATGTATACATTTGAAAACTCATTTGACTTCGGTTTAGGCCTAGAATCGGCTAAACCTTAGCTCTGATACCATTAAATGTAACACCCCCAACGCATACCCGACCTGGATACAAATCCAAGGTGTCACATTGACTTTTAAAACATTTACTTTTACAAAAGAACTAAAATTCCAGTTCGTATTGAAAACAAAACTGAATAATTCACATTAATTACAATAATACAAGTTTACAAAACCAATCAAAACAAATCTTATTCAAATCTTTATTTACATGCCAACTACTTCATTAAAAAATACATACAATTCGTTATTTTTTCTGATCTGATCTTCAGAAATGAGAAGTTGACATGTCTTAACCCTCTTTCCTTTTTAACATTCTCGAAACCTAAGTGTGAAACATTCAAATGCTAAGTCGGTGACTTTGTGAGGCATATAACATATAATGGAAACTCTAAATACTTAACAATACATGAACACTGCATACTATGATATCACTTAAAACTATGGAATATTCGTATAATCAAATATAGACATACCCATATCTCGACATTATCATCAAATCATACAAAATCATGCGTTATTTCATGTAGAAATTACATATCTACACATATCTCATCATTATAATCTTTCATTTTCTTATAATTATCAATATTTTTATCCTTGATCCGTCTAATCTTGTACTTAACATTTATACACATCATATCATACATTTCACACAACAAAACACATAATATCATACAAGGCTTCTTATGTTATCTTTTATTTGCCCATGATACACTTGTGAGAACTAAAAATATGTGAGTACATTGAGGTTCTGCACTAATGCTGTCACCACAGCTCGTAATTTGTACCGAAGAGCCACATAAATTTCCCGAAGTGCCACATATTTTTCTCGAAGGACCACATATTTTTTTTTCCGAAGGACCACATAGAACTCTCGACTCTTGGCATGCCAACTATAGCCCTAGCTCTCATATCACATAACATGGGCATTATCAATTATTCTTATCACATATTCATATAATCACACAAATTATCACATAACTGATATCATTTCACATGTAGTTACATGGGTCATATAACATAGCATATCTCACATAGTTCATGTAACATTTTCATTTATTCACTTAGATCATTTTCATATAACACCTATCACATAACTTCATATCACATAACATATAATGATAGCAAGATGTATTAATACATACATATAATCACATAACTTATATAATATAACTTATTATTTATTCTCTTATGATCATCCTTCAACTCATATAATTTAAGTAGATACTCTTATACATATTTTAATATAACCTTTATATCAATACAATATAGCATATCTTACCAATTTTCATAATCATCTATCTCATATAAAGTTTATAATAGTTCCATATATTCACTTAATTCATCTTCACATATTTTGTTACCTAAACATGTTTTCACATATGGTTTTCTATATAATTATCATACAACTAATATTATATATATTAGTATAATAACTTATGCCAGTATTTCCTAGCTTATATCTGATTCTTATTTATTATCATATATATCAATGCTACTTAACTTATCTCAGCCTTCATATCATTTCATAAGTCCATTATATTAGTACACATAAATCTAATTATTACAACTTATACCTTGTTATCATATTTCACCTAAATCATTATCATACAATATAATATATATACCATATAGTTCCCTTAAACTTACATCATTTCATAGGGTTCACGCGCATATGTCAAATATTCACATAAGTACTTAAATTCCTATTACATGGTTTACGTAATTTTCTTATCTCTTCTCATAGACATATAGATCCTCATTACCTAACTCATATTACATGTCCATATAATCATTGATATTTATACCACATAGTTTATACTACTTCCTCTTGTTATTACTACTTAAACTATTGTTTTCTACATAATTCATGATCATTTAATTTATCTCATAGGCATGTATTCACATAGTCTAATGTAGCACAGAGATCATGAAACTCATACAATAACATGTCAACACACATACTCAGGCACACATACAAATCATAACAAACACATGCTTATATTCATGAATTCATATACTTTAATATGGAAATAGACTCATCGCAAGTCTTATTTCCATACAACTTCATATACCTAAAAATACACACTCACCTGGCCTCACTAGTCCATCCTAACCCGTACAACTCTTTTACACTCTTATAACTTTAAACCGTCTTGGACTTGTCTTCAATCGATATCTACACGAATATATAATTCACTGAATATCCAAATTCGAAATCCTTAAAAAGATTCTTTCCAATATAAACTAATCAAAGAACTGATTCCTTAATTTCAACTTAAGTTCGGTATCGATACCCAATTTTGATTCTGTAATTTCATTGCAAGAAATGGTACTGATACCCCATTGGTATCGATATCCCATGAATATTTACAAACGTTTGCCTTATGGTATTGATATTGTTCATGCAATATTGATACCCACACATAGCTATCACTTAATATTGCCTTGTAGTATTGGTACTTACTCAACCAGTACCGATACTACCAACCCATATTACACTTCTTTTAACTCGAAAATTACCAAAACTTTGCTAACTTACCCATTTTACTCTTCCATAAAGCCTTTTAAGCTCAACTAGACACTCCCAAACTAACTTACTTCACTTAAGCATTCTTTAGCATCCAATATTCTTACAGAACACTTGGAACCAAAAATCATACCAATTATTCAACATATTTTTAATCCATTTCTACTAGTTTTATCTTCTTAATTAGACCCTTGACAAGTCAAATTTGAACTCAAACTTCACTTACTCACTCTCTTTTAATAATTAACTTAAAAACTCTTTACCTTCAATCTTTCATAACTTATTCATCTTTGAGTTTTAAGCCACTTAAAGCTTTCTTTAAGCTTTCTTATCATCCCAAGAATAAAATCCAACTTTAAAATAAAAGAAAACCTTAACTGGAGACAAACTTACCTTGTGCAATAACCCACGGCAAAGAGGAAGAAGAAAGCTGAAGAAGACTATGGATAAGTGTTCTCCCATTTCCCACGTGCTTTATATCATTTAAAGAGGGAAGATAAAAATCTTTCATTAGAAAAGACCATAATACCCTTTAACTAATCCAACTTTGATATCAAATCCTAAACAAAATTTTCAAAATAAATCCTTGAACTTTTCAAATTATTCTCATTAAACCACTAAACTTTAAATTCTTACAATTTGGTCACTGACCCTTTTTTGGAATGTTACATATTGCAACCTTTATAGGAAGAAATATGAGAATGGTTAATGTTGTCCAACTTATGATGAATCAAGATGGAAGAATGATGACAAATGGACGACATTAACCGGAATAATTAATGATATTAAGTTTTTGAATTAATTTACGGCATTGCAAAAATAGATGAGTAAATGATTTCAAATTAAAGTATAGGAAGTAAACCTCAAATTCAAAAATAATAGATGGACTAAAACTGAAAATTTACCATTTTCTTATAATTTATTTTAAGTAAAGTTGTCACTGCGTCATCTCTTAGGGATGACTTTAATCTACAAGTATAGAATTTGGGTATACCGAATTTATTGTAAATATAGTATTAAAGTTAAATCGGATGTATCATTATTTTATTTTATTAAACGTTTATACGTCTCAAGATTCAATTTGTCATTTAAACTTGTTTATTCGATTAGATACCTGAACTTAATTATTTGATTCAATTTAGCACTAAACTTTATGATTCACGTTTAAATAAAGACTGTAACTATCAATTTGAAACAAAAAACTACGTTTTGAATTAAAAAGTTAAAGTATCTAATTAGAGATTAAAATGAAAGTAATCACATTTAACATTAAAATCAATTCAAGTATCAAATTGAAACCAAAAAAATAAAAAAAAAAAAAAAACACGTTACTCTAATTTTATGGGTGCTTACTAACGCACTTGCATACAATTCAACTAAATAGCTTTACATCAAGCATATCAAGATGTAAAAATAAAAATAAAAAATTATGAAGTCACCGTTCTTGCATTGCATAACTTCAAAGTTCCAACATTGACACATGTTAAGCTATTTAGTTAGATGAATTGTTCCCAAAAAAAAATAAGTTCAATGTTCAAAGACCAAAACAACTGCACAAACCTCAATAGAAAACTTAAAAAATACAAAGAAACTCGTCAAACTGTTGTGGCCTTGCTTGGAGCAGATTCCGACATTTGACGCAGAACAAAGTTACAGTATTTTCCATTTAGAACAAAGAGCTCAGTACTCCCACTCCTTCATTTCCATACCATCCGGAGGACTTCCTTCGACCTTCTTTGCACCAACTTCTTTCCAGTTTGTTGAAAGCACTGTCCCATTTGATTCCACCTACAATATTCCCATGGTAAATGAACTATTACTGCAACCATATTCTATCGATTATTTAATCCAATTACCAAAGTTACGCATGTATTGAGAGACAATTAAAAAATCTGTCGGGGTAAAATCATACAAAAGATTTTTGCATAGCTCTCCTTGCGTCCTCATCAGCATCCTGATAAATGTCCCGGAAAAACTTATTCAAAGCTGCATCACCATCAAGTTTTTCATCTTTCTCCTGAAAGCCAGCCACACAGAGTCGTGTTAATCATTGTATTCCACAACAACTTCCTCTAGGCAAGTTATCCCAAACACACAATCAAAAGAAAGGGGGAAAAAATTAGTCACATGTTCAACGTACCTCCTCCTTTACTTGAGCTTCAATTTTATCCCAATCAACCCTCTTTGGTTTGGAGGATGGATACATGCAGTTACTGAAACAGTAGTTGATGACATGACCACGAGTGCACAGTGAGAATAAACATTGATATTTCACACTACCATTACATAAAGGTTCAAAACAGCAAAAACATACACACATCATCATATAAATGCATAAAAGAGCGCAGGGAGAATTATCAAGTCAGTAAAGGATGTAGAATCAAGCTCAGACATTTGGTTGTCTCATGGTTTAATATCTGGTAAAAAGATGCAACACAATTTCAACTTACCTGAAGATACATTAACCCTTTGGGGAACAGCAACTTCCCTGCTGAATTCAAGGGTTGCCCAGTGAATAGGTTCAGCTTTCACCAGTCGAATCTCAATTTTGATTGACAAAACATCATATCTGCACCTATCAGGTATTATCTGTTCAAACAGAGCAAAACACCACAGTAAAATGAAAATCTAAAGAAGAGATGCAATCACATAGTAAAAGATTCAGCAAAAGACTTGTTTATCACTACTAAACAGAAGAGCAATCCACACTTCAGCATAATATTTTTAATATCGCCAGTATTATCTACAGAGTTCTAAGCTTGGACATTTGCCAAGAAATAAAATGCCCACCATATTTAACGTACCATTCTTACAAACCAGAATTTTAATAACATGAATTTCATGTAATACCTTTACAAATAATCGAGGTTGGAAATGATATGAATCTTTTCCAGGAACTTCAATGGCAACGTTTAGCTGCAGAGACACAAAGAAAGAATGTCTTTAGCCTATATACTCATTAACATCTCAAAGTACAGAAACACAAAAAAAAAAAAGGGCAAAAGGTAGACATTAGTTGGTATGCAACTTACAATTTGTTCACCATAATCTACTTTAACACATTCTCGCGGTATTCCCTTGGCAAATATTGTGACAACCACTTCCTCTAGTTTCTGGTAAAATGAATGCTTCACTTCTTTGGCAGGTACAGCATTTTTTGCCGTCGGAACAGGCACATCCTTCACTGGATCAAATTCTTTTTGAGGTACAGCATTTGTTGCCATTGGAACAGGCACATCCTTTACTGGATTAACTTCTTTTTGCGGTACGGAATTTGTTGCCACCTCTTTCAGCATCTGCTTTGGTAGCTCGACTTGTTCCTCTACAGAAAGACACAAATTCATAAACCAGGAAGGCTCTTAAGACATTATAGGTAATTTTAAAATATATAGGAATTTTGGTGGATAAACTCCTTCCTTCCTAAAAGTACTTATTAAAATATAAGTACCAGAAATGCGCTCTTCACATTCTTTGATCAACTTAGAAAATCTTGAATCTCCTGGTGCCAAAGCAGCACCATTCTCCAATGCAGCCTTAGCAGTTTGGTACTCCTCAAGCTTCATACATGCCGTACTGTAGACATTGTTTTACATATTATTTATAGACTCTACATAATTGACTCGGAAGCAATAAACAAGGCAGGGAAAAGCCTTGAACATGCAATTTAGCTATCTATAATAACTATAATTTCCTATAATGATCACCATCAGAAGAATTCAGGAATTCCTTCAGGCTTCAGCTACTATTTAATTTTCGTACAGATCGTGAAAGGCAATGAACAAAAAAAAAAACAGCAACATCCATACTATTTATGTATAAACAACAAAAGCATTGGAAAAACGAAAGAATTCAGGAAAATCTACTAACGCTTTACGCAAGTAAGCTTTAGACATGGAAGCATCCAACTCCATTGCTTTGTTTGCATCCGTGACAGCCTCTGCAAAAACGAAAATTACAAAAAAAAATCTTGACATCAAGCAGAACGGGAATGCGACTCACTTGGTACGCCTCAATTTCTCTCCGTTTATAGCTCAAAATTTCAACTTGGCTTCTGTGAAATTCGATGTTTGGCTAATGACTTCTTGTTACTGCGTGATTTAGTGCTTACAATACTGTGCTAAAAGAGTTTTTGCTGAGAATTGATGGTGAAGTTCTTGAAATCATGTTTAGTCCTCTGGGTGATTCTGGGTTTGAATTTCTGGGTTATTCGTATGAATATTGGACCTTCAGATTTGAGCACTCCTTCAAAAATTAATGCGATTCTAAATGGGGGCTGAGATCATGAAGTTGGTGAATCTTATAGGTTTGCAAGCTAAGTCTAAGAAGAAAAACATTTGGATTTTGGTGAGTTTTATTGTTGGTGGCTTTGTTATCTGTTGTTTGGTTGTGGCTGCAGTTCTGCTAATTTTTAAGTGCAAGAAGAAGAAATCGAAATCGCCAAGACGTGTAGAAAGTGCTGGTTGGACACCGCTACGTGTTTATGGGGGCAGTTCGTATAGTAGAATGTCTGAACAAAGTGCTATTTATCTCCAGGTCCCAACAGTAGAATGTATGAAGTTATGCAAAGTAGGGAAATCATTGTGGTGGTGTTGAAGCAAGGGAGGGAAAGGGTTGTTTTTGGGGGATAAAAGGGAGTGTGTCTTGCAGTGTGCGCATAAATGGTGTTAAGGAAGAATACGGGGTGGGTTGAGGAAGAAGATGGGGTTGGGTTGAAGAAGAAGAAGAGTCGGTCAAAATGGTCTAGCTGTGGCGGTCAACAATCCATGTCAGTATATAACGGTTCAACTGTGTTTTCTGTCACGCCTATTAACGGATGTTAACGTCGAGTGACGTGGACACAAGTAATAGAAGTTATGCAAAAAGAAATACTTTCAGATATGACCAGAAAAACCATAAACTTCCATGGCCAAATCACCATTAATTGACCCAGTTTCTTCAAAAGCCTTCTCCCCTTCTTCTGTGACCTTCCATGGATGCTCAAAGGCTTCACCTTTTAGCTCTAACTTTCCTTTCACTCCTTTACTTAGCTAAATCTTTCGTCCCTAAAAATAACTTCCTCCTCAACCGTGGATCAAATGCCAACGCTTCCCTTTATAATCGATGAGCAATCCGTTTCACTCACTGACAGAAACCCATCTACGAGTTCACCCATTTTATACCGCATGCCCAGGTTTTCACCTCCGAGTCGAGCTACGAGTTTGACGTCAAGCAGAACGGGAATGCGACTCACTTGGTACGCCTCAATTTCTCTCCGTTTATAGCTCAAAATTTCAACTTGGCTTCTGTGAAATTCGATGTTTTGGCTAATGACTTCTTGTTACTGCGTGATTTAGTGCTTACAATACTGTGCTAAAAGAGTTTTTGCTGAGAATTGATGGTGAAGTTCTTGAAATCATGTTTAGTCCTCTAGGTGATTCTGGGTTTGAATTTCTGGGTTATTCGTATGAATATTTGACCTTCAGATTTGAGCACTCCTTCAAAAATTAATGCGATTCTAAATGGGGGCTGAGATCATGAAGTTGGTGAATCTTATAGGTTTGCAAGCTAAGTCTAAGAAGAAAAACATTTGGATTTTGGTGAGTTTTATTGTTGGTGGCTTTGTTATCTGTTGTTTGGTTGTGGCTGCAGTTCTGCTAATGTTTAAGTGCAAGAAGAAGAAATCGAAATCGCCAAGACGTGTAGAAAGTGCTGGTTGGACACCGCTACGTGTTTATGGGGGCAGTTCGTATAGTAGAATGTCTGAACAAAGTGCTATTTATCTCCAGGTCCCAACAGTAGAATGTATGAAGTTATGCAAAGTAGGGAAATCATTGTGGCGGTGTTGAAGCAAGGGAGGGAAATGGTTGTTTTTGGGGGATAAAAGGGAGTATGTCTTGCAGTGTGCGCATAAAATGGTGTTAAGGAAGAATACGGGGTTGGGTTGAGGAAGAAGATGGGGTTGGGTTGAAGAAGAAGAAGAGTCGGTCAAAATGGTATAGCTGTGGCGGTCAACAATCCATGTCAGTATATAACGGTTCAACTGTGTTTTCTGTCACGCCTATTAACGGATGTTAACGTCGAGTGACCATTTTGTAACAAACGATAACGTTAGTAATCGATTTATAACTTTTTAAACCTCAGTGGTGAAAACAAAAACTACTCCAAACATGAGTGACCACTGGCGTAGTTTACCCAATAAAATAAAATGAGACTAGGATCTCTCAAACCACTTGAATAATTTCTTTTTAATTGTATTTCCATTCTTTTTTATTAAAATTTTAATTCATTTCCAAAGTTAATCCAACATTAATCAATTTTTTTAATAAATATTACTTTTTTAATATTATTTGTTATGATTCCATTATAATATATATGGTATGTTTGCATAAGCATAAACTCTTATACATGTTACAAATAATGTATTTTCAGAATTAGAGTAAGAACATATCATTTTATGTAAATTTTAATTATTTTCTATAAAAATTTATTGAATAGATAATGATAAAAGAAATTGTTATTTTCTTTAAATGATTATGATTTGATTAGTTGTGTTTGTAAAGTATATGTAAGTTACCAATAAGTTGAGAACAAAATTTTGAATATATATTATCTTATAATCATTTATATTATTTAAAAAAAAAAAATATTAATTAAGAAAAAAATTGAAAATGCTTTAGGTTTATCTTTTTAATTTAAATTTATTATATGATTAAAATAATGTTATTATTTAAAAAAAATAATCCTTGATTTAAATATTAATGTGAATATTATCCTTAAACAACTTCAATTCTCATTGTATGTAAATTTTTTGGATAAATTATAATTTTGGTCATTTGGTTTTATCATTATATCTGTTTTTGTCACTGTTGATCGATCGACGGAAAAGCGAATAGGGGGTGAATTGGCAATAAAAATTTTGGTGGAAGCTTTTGCAGAAAATTGAAAATATTTGCACAACGATTTAGAGTGGTTCGACTTTCTCAACCAAAGTCTACGTCCACTACCTAAGCTATCCAAACTAATGATTTTCGACAAATTCACTAATTTGTCTTTCTTTTGAGGAAAAGAGTAACCTTACAAATCCCTCAAGAATTATACGCCAAATTCTTGAGAACACTCTCTCTTAAAGAGAACAATACAAATTTTGCAAACTTACAAGAAAATCCTCACAAGGAAAGATGTTTGCACAATTCTAGAACAAAGAAAGAACACTTCAAGAATAATACAATTGACACAATAAGTGTTTTTGAAATCAAAAATGAATATTGAATGAAATAGGCTTTGAAAATAACTGACGAACCTATCATATAATTCATCTCTACGACGACCGGGTTGGTTGAAGCAAGAATTAAGAATTGTTAATTCGGGTTCGTTTGGGTTTAGATTTTGTGGTAGAGGAGGAATAGGAGGGCGGTTTGATCGACTCGATGAGGACCTAGGTCGTTTAGGATTAGACATTGTAAAGAAATACGAAATAGGATAACCTGCAAATTTAAACACATTTATGCAATCTTAATCAATCCCAAAACTCAATTGAGTCTACAATAGTCAAGGTTCTCTAAACCAAATCCTAATGGGAAAAGTTTTGAAAAACTATGTTGAAAATAATGTTTGATAATCAATTGAATCAAAAACATCAATTAAAAACAATAATTTTTTTTATTTCGAAATTCAAAGAAAATTTTGCAAAATTGTTTGTTTTTGATGAAATTTGTTGTAAAATCTAGTTTCTAAACATTAAACAATCAAAGCCCGATAATTTGTTCATCCTAGAACTAGTCAAAACTAGTCCTAAGTTCAAAAATCAATAAAATATGGGTTTTAGAAAAAAAATTACCTTGAATCTTTGGATTGAGTGAGAATGTACTGATGTTTTGCACGATTTAATGATGCAAGTAGGTTTTGGAGATGAAAAACGATCGAAGTCCATCTAGAATACGTTGATTTGAGGAAAATGGAGAGTTTAGAGTGGGAGAGGGACGAACAACGGGCTGAGTAGTTTTAAGGGTTTTGAGAAAATAAAGAGAAAATAGGGATTTAACACCCAAAACCCGATGAGTATATCAGTGCACCTTCAAGGTGTATCGATGCACTGTTTAGTGAATCGATGCATTAAGCAAAAAAATGTCAAAAATCCTTTTTAAACACTCAAAATACTAAATTATTTAGCTCTAGTGGTATTGACAACCCATATATTGAAAATTAATCATGTTCAATCAATCAAATCTATCTTTAAACATAATTTGAACATATAATTAATTTTCGCTAAGAATCATAAACTACCCATAACTAATAGCAAAGAATGCAATCAAAAATATTATTTTTATAATATTTTACAAAAAAACTAATTAAAAAGTGATAAACTTATTTTAAACATTAAGTCAAGGTAGGTTGGTCAAATCTAGTTCTCTCCTAAGTGTCCAAAATTTTTCTTTATCTAAAGGTTTCGTGAGAATATCCGCTAATTGGTGCAAAGTATCAACATATTATAGAACTATATCTTCTTTAGCGACATGATCTCTAATGAAATGATGTCTGATTTCAATGTGCTTAGTTCTAGAGTGTTGGATGAGATTTTTAGTGAGACAGATAGCACTAGTATTGTCACACTTGATAGGTATGGTACCTACTTCAATTCCGTAATAAAAAAGTTGTTGTTTCATCCATAAAACTTGTTCACAACAACTACCCGTTGAAATGTATTCCGCTTCAGTGGTAGATAATGCAACACAATTTTGTTTCTTTTGAAAACCAAGAAATCAGCATATTTCCTAGGAATTGACAAGTACCAGAGGTGCTTTTCCTATCTATTTTGCATCCTCCATAATCTGCATCTGAGAAGGCATGCAAGCTAAAGCTAGAGTCTCTAGGATACCAAAATCCTAAACTAGGAGTTTCCTTAAGGTAACTAAATATCTTCTTAATAGTTAGTAAATGTGATTCCTTAGGACATGATTGAAATCTAGCACATAAGCAAACACTAAACATAATGCCTGGCCTACTTGCAGTTAGATAGAGAAAAGAGCCAATTATTGACCTATACAATTTAACAGCCACACATTTACCTCCTTCATCTTTGTCAAGCTTTGTAGATGAGCTCATTGGAGTGGCATGAGGTTTCCCATTTTCCAGTCCAAACTTCTTGAGCATATCCTTGACGTACTTAGCTTGATTGATGAAGATGCCATCTTTTCTTTGTTTGATTTGGAGTCCCAAGAAAAATGAGAGCTCCCTCATCATGCTCATCTCAAATTCACTCTGCATTAGCTTAAAAAATTCTTGACAAAGAGCATCATTAGTAGAACCAAATATTATATCATCAACAAAAATTTGAACTACTAATAAATCTTTACCTTTATGCTTTAAAAACAATGTAGTGTCAACCTTCCCTTTTGAAAAACCTTTTTCTATTAAAAAGTTTGACAATCTTTCATACCATTCTCTAGGAGCTTGTTTTAAACCATAAAGTGCTTTTGTTAATTTAAAAACATGATATGGAAATTTTGAATCTTTAAAACCTGGAGGTTGTTCCACATACACTTCTTCTTTTATAAAACCATTTAAAAATGCACTTTTAACATCCATTTGATATAACTTAAATTCATGAAAACATGCAAATGCTAATAACATTGTAATTGCTTCCATCCTAGCTATGAGAGCATATGTTTCATCATAGTCTATGCATTATTCTTGAGTATAACCTTGAGCAACAAGTCTAGCCTTGTTTCTCACTATATTACCACTTTCATCAAGCTTATTTCTAAATACCCATCTAGTACCTACAGTAGATTTATTACTAGGCCTTTCAACTAATGTCCATACTCTACTTATCTCAAATTGATTTAACTCTTCTTGCATAGCCATAATCCAATGTTCATCATTTAATGCTTCTTTAATATTATTAGGCTCTATGCATGAAATAAATGCAACATAATTACATATATTTCTAAGAGAAGATTGAGTTGTTACCCCTTTTGATGGATCACCTATTATCTCACCATACTTGACATAGTTGTCCTCTCTTGGTTAAGAGACTTCCCTTTCTTCAATGATTGGATTCTCGAGAGGATCTAGAGTTTCCTCATCTTTGGTTTCTTCCCTTCATGATGGTTCTCCAACGTCATATCTAACGTCGTTTGTGTTTATAATACCTACATCATCATTCACACAAAA